GTCTGAGGCCAGACTGTGTGCCAAACAAATCGTGGTACGATAATCTTGATAAAAACAAAAACGTTCCACAATTTGCATGAGGGCCGAATACTACCAGATTGCCCAGGCCAAGGCAAATGAATTTTCTTGAGGAATCCACAACCGGAGACCTCGTCTAATCAAAGCCTGACCCGCAAGGCAGCGGGACAGTGTCTGAACACCGCAATCCATTGGAGGCCCGTTTCCAGTTCATCGGATCATTCGCCCTTTGGACGGGGTCAAACGTCCAAGGTGCCCAATCGAGCCGGTAATCACCACCACAACTAAAACAGTGTGGTTAGTTTTGAATCAGGGTTTCTGTTCACCTCCCCTAGGCGAACTACCAGTTGTTTACCAAACCGGATGTGGGCTGCGTAGAATACTAGTTTATACTCCTCCACTGCCAGTGTGGCGAACCACCTACGGCCCCGATAGGTTACACGTGGTATTGAACCGGACGACAGCAGAGCTGCCTACCACCAAAGTCGGGTGGCGGGGCTCGAACCTCAGAAAACAGGGTCCAAAGCACGCCGGTGACAGCGACTAAACCACTGCGCCACCACTATTAGCGATTCTAACAATGCATGTACGCTGTACGCATACGCACAAATACCATGAAACTGTGTAATTGATCTCCTAGAACGTGCGCTAAAATAGAATGGTTTTTGTAGGCTTGTGAGCGTAAAATTACAAATATATATATTACTGTTATTTCGCTCCTCGTGAGGAATCTTCGAATTTATTGATATTTTTACACTTCCATTAGTTATATATTGAAATTCATAATTTCTTACGAACAATAACAAAATAACTACTTTCAATGCTAATGCTACTACGCTTCAAATCATCGATCTGGGGATTGAATTTAGGATATGATGTTTCTCATGGTCCCAGGTAGCACAACGTAACGCATCAATCGGGTACAAAGAGCCACGTATCAGCTACACTTGTTATTAAACAGTAATTACCCTTTAAATACAATGATCATTTTTCGGTTTAAAAACGCATTGGATAATTAATTCTATCAAATAAATCTTATTTTCGATGTCTTATTTCCGCGATTGTTGTTTGAATTTTTGGCGGAAAATGATAATTTGATAGACTCTTTTATTTTTCTTGATTGTTGTTTCTGTTGTTGCGCAGAAATCCCTGATTTTTGGTATCCGACTAGTAGTAAGTGTATTTTGTGATATATTTATCGAGTTGTTTGTGTTGTTTTCACTATCATGAGTGATTTGAGTAATCACACGGAAAACATTGTTCCTTCGAATATTCTATCATCGTAAACTGTGATCCATATCTCGTTGGATATTTAACTATATAAGAAAATAACAAACACAACACGTTAAGTGTCTTGTCTGTTGAAAGCCGAGTCTTCCTGGACATGAAAAGATATCCAATATCACACGGTAATAAAATTACGAAACATGAATTTTTTTCGCAATTAATTTCCTTTAGGAAGTACTGTCCATTTCTGGGGGACTGAGTATCGTCAATGTGAGTCTATCACTGCAAATAGCTTGAAATGCATATCCACCACCCGGATTTTCATGAAATTTGCTTTCGTCATCATCATCATCATCGAACAGCGAGATACAGCTAAGCGAACTTCATTGATTGCTGTCAAACTCGCAATGCAAATAAGGTTGGTGGTGGACAGGGGGTGAACTAAATTTAAGGGAGGGGAGAGATTGTGAACGTCTATGATCAACACGGATTACACAATCTAACTGTGCACAAATACCGTTTCAAGCATTCTGACCTGATAAGAAATGATAGCAGGAACGCCACTGCTGTCGGTTCACTACCATATCTTTCAATATCTCCAACCAACCGGTTGTGGAGTCTTTCGGACCCCAACCTGGAAGGCGCAAGACACCTACTCTACCCAATGACTCCGTGCATTTCTTCGTGCCTCGTCGCCACGTTATCTGTTGACCTCCCTGTGGTTTCCCCCAACCCGGAGTGGCTTGAAAGAGTACTCCAGCACATGTCTAATATGTATTAGACATGATGGATGATGGATTACTCGTTCATGTCTAATACATATTAGACTACTGGTAAGTCTAACATGTTCCGTTCAACATTTTGTACTTTTTTATTACACACTAAGTGATTTACAGCAAAAGGAGTAAACCCCATAATCAACGATATACTGTAAGGGGGAGGTATG